CACTTTTTGCACGGCAATTGTTCGGTTTGTGTGGACAGCCACAGTCTCACGATGTCCGGATTTCGAAGGGGCATACGTACATATGGGCACGGGTATGGGTTTGGGTATGGGTATGCTCCGGTTCCGATTCACAGCACAGGAATTCTCGGTGGGCAGCTGCCCCAGAGGCGAGTGGCCATTTAACACCTCCATTCTCCATTCATCTGGGCAAACAATGCGTTTATCTTCATCGGTCGGGTTTGGATAAGAAATTATGAGGAAACGTGAAATTGTGTGTGCATATAAAGCAATCGTTCCCCAGCTATATTCAGGCCTTTACTTTACCAATTAGGAGCCAGCAGACATAATTATCGAGAGGTGATAAGTACGGGATATCATTGTACCAGTATAGAAGTTTTAAGGTGAGAAAAGTGACTCAATGTGGGGGAAAGTAATAAAAATTTTAATATTTAAAAATTAAACTACGAATTGACCAACTAATTTAAATATTCAAAAAGGATGTCAAAAAATATAAATAGAAAAGAAAAAACTGAGTAAACATTTCTGGAAACCCTGAAGAAATTAAAACCAACAATGTTTTTAAAATTTTGTCACCTAGTTTCAAAGTTTTAGGATATACAGAAAACGGATTTGCAATTCTTCAGGTAATAAATAAATATAAAAAGACCGACAGCAACACGTTTAAGTAACTGTAAAACTGAAGCATTCCAATTTCGCGATATGAATTGATAATTTACCCAAAAATGTATAAAGCTCTCCCAAAAATGTCACGTAAGCCCGTTCACGCCCCACACTGTCCTACATTTTCTACAATCCGAAGGGTTTTCGATGTTTTTGGCTTTGTTGAACTTATTTGCATTAATGAGGGTCGCATTAACTGTTGAATCAGGTGGAGTAATTTATTCTCAAATATTTATATTCGTCTCACAATGCGTGAAATTAATTTATACATATCTGTGGACTTAAGCTCAATGTTAAGAGCAATATGTGCAATCCCAAGTGGAGCAATGCCCGCCATTGCTGGACCCTCTCAGTGTCGCCTGTTCCACCAGATCTTGTACCAATTTGTCTTAGAACGTTTTTAGTATTTGCTTGCTTCTTTGTTTCGGCAATAAATAAATTTGAGATGTCTGGAATTAACCAATTGCAGGAACAAAAGCGTTATAATACGATCATTAGTGAAGCGCAGCAATAAAACGAGGGGAAACACAAAGAAACCGGATTCGGAGATTCTACTCCGTTTCTGTACTTCGAGTGTTATCATCGCAGCAGAGTTGAAATAAATACTTGTATACGAAAAAGTGTTGTTAAGTTATAAATAATTCTCAAAGATAGTAGGGATGTGTGTGCGAGGCTGGGCTGGCAGATATAAATAGCTGGGGTGTTGGCTGTTACTATACTGAACTCAAGGGAAGACTTTGTTACATAAGTTACAGAAGGCAAACAAACAAGATAAGGAAATAAGGTGGAGTTTGCATTGTAAACTAACCGATTTTTAATCTCTCTGCATGCAACCAGAAATTCTAAGATCAACACGGGAAACCGGATCGATCTGATACAGTTTCGGTCGGTCTTTATCATAACCAAATGTTGATAATTCGAGCTATATCGACGAGTGAACTAATTAGCAGCAACCTAATGAACCGACACGAGTGCCTTTTGGCATCTTTACAAGCGGATTCAGTTTCTCCCGGTGATTTGATTAGGGTCTCTATTCTCATAAAAATTCGATCGAGTTCCAAGTGCAATGTTTATTATAATGCTAAGTTTGCCTTTTGGGGGACTGAGACTGATACGTCATCCGTCAGTTTTACCAACCATTTGTTTTATGCCGGTTTCCAGGCAGATTTCGTAAATTAGCAACTCAATTTGGGAATTAGGGGCCGTGTCACCGTTGGCTGCTAATGAATTATGTTGCTTGATATTGGCTTCGCTAGTCCTTGACTGGGGGAGGGTTCCATTGGGGGAGTGTTGTGGAATCTTGGCTCCATTTAAAGTGGAATTTTTTATAGACCGTTTTCTTCCAGTACTAATTTCATTCGATTTTGTTTTCTCCCCATTCATATCGTATTTTTATAGACCCCCTGCTGCAACAAGTTCTACAAGTGCCGATTTTGCCATGACGAGAACGAAACGCACCACTTTGATCGCAAAACCCTCACCGAACTGATCTGTTCTGAGTGCAATACGCGGCAAACGGTTCGAGAGCAGTGCGAAAATTGCGGAGTGCGATTCGGCAAGGTAAGCTTGGGGTATTCTAAAATACATGTATCTTCCTCGAAATCTTTTCTAATATTTATCTTGAAAATATATTTACCTTAGTAAAGGCAATACGAAATTTTCTTATCTTATGAAAATATTCTTGTAGCAACAATCCTTTGGTTAACATAAATCTCCCAGGGCTTCTTCTAATTAGTATTAAAATATGATTAATTTTGGCATTTTAAAATTATATTTTCCAAGAAAGGCAAAAAGGTATTCCTTATTTGGACATTAGAAAAACTGGAAAATCAATAAAATGAAATTCTGTAAAAAAAACATTAAATTAATGAAACCCAGTGGGATTAGGTCATCAATAAAATGTTTAAATGTTACTTGGAAAATACACAAGCAAAAATTCCACGTTTTCTAAGGAACTTGTAATATAATTTTTGTGTACTTCATTAATTTCAGTACACCTGTCTGATCTGCAACCTCTTCGACGATGCGGACAAGCAGCAGTACCATTGTCATGGATGTGGAATTTGTCGGATTGGAGGTGCCGAAAACTTCTTCCACTGCGAGGTCTGCAATATGTGTCTGCCCATCCAACTGAAGATCGATGGCCATAGGGTGAGTTGGGACTTGATTTTGCACCCCATTAGGCTCCGAGATTGTCCGCTTGGAAATTATTTGACCTGTAAGTGCGGATGGCGACCTCCGCGTTTCGAAAGCAAATCAAAGAAACAGCCAGCCGGCTCGAATGTTAATTTTGTGTCAATTCATTGCCCAAACCGGTTGCCTAATTGCTTCATGTGGCGATCACCGATCCGCGATATAGTTGAGTGGATATGAATGTCAAAACTGTTGGAGGAATAGCTTAATTAATTGGCCCGCATATCGAGAGTGCTGTGCAGACACGTATCAGGCACCGAAATGGGCCCCAGATCTGAGACGGATTTGCATAACTGATTGGGAAACTCCACTAATTGACGCTATGTTCCCTTTCCAATCCCTTGCAGTGCGTGGAGAACATCTCGCGATCCCACTGCCCGGTCTGTCTGGGCGACATCCACACCTCGCGCATTCCCTGCCATATTCCCGACTGCGGCCACCTGCTGCACAAGATGTGCTTCGACCAGCTGCTGGCCTCGGGCCACTACACCTGTCCCACCTGCCAGACCTCGCTGATCGACATGACGGCGCTGTGGGAGTACCTGGACGACCAGGCGGAGCGCATGCCGGTGCCGCTGAAGTACGAGAATCAGCGAGTGCACATATTCTGCAACGATTGTCACAAGGTAAGTTATTAAATTCTGTAGAGTGCAGGGCAACATTTAAAAATACATAAAGAATTCGCGTTTTTAAAACGTTAATCGAAAATCAAACACTTGAAAAACTAACAGGTGTTACTTAAAAATACATTTAAATTTCGATAATACCACCTATATGTAAAAAAATTGATAGGTAACGATACTAGTTTTGATTAAAAATAACTTGATGCCCTTATCAGTTTCTTATGTTTCAATATATAATACCTTAATTTCGAGAGTATCGTGCTCAAAATAAAGCAGTTTTACCCAACTAATCCTGACACCCCCTTTATCTCAGTGATGAAGCTCTTAAGATTTTATGAAAAATATATATAACACAAATTTAGATCACATAAAATAAATAAATATACGAATATACGTCGATACCAAATATTTACATATTCTAATCTTAATCTTTTCTCATATCTATTGCAGACTTCCAAGACCAAATTCCATTTTATCGGGCTCAAGTGCGTGCATTGCGGCGCCTACAATACAACGCAGGATGTGAAGCGTCGCCTGTCCCTGGTCACCGATGAGCCATCCTCGGCGTGATGTCCACCGATTCCCACCACATCCCCATAAGCATCCACATCCGCATTTGCATCAGCAACAGGAAATCTCTTGCCATGCTACCCACATTTGAAGAAACTATTTTGTTACCTAAACACAACACAACTGAAATCGAAACGCATTGAATTTAGACCAAATTCGAGCTGGTATCGAATATAAACCATACAAACAAAAACAAAAGGCTCCCTAAATCATTCGGGTGTGCTGTCGAAACCCCGGGAGATTTGAAAATATTGATTAGATGAAATGGAAATAGTTAGTTTCAATATTGTGATAGGCCCATACAAAAATTATTTTCTAATTGTGTTTTTAAATCTCTAGGGGATTCTAGACCCCCAATAGATATACACTTTACACATTGGTAAAAACTAATTTTCTCTCGAATTTTTAAGCATTCTATTTGCTAAAATCATCTTGTGTAAATCTCGAATTTCTCTGTGCAAATTTAAACATAGAAAATACCCCTCGAAAACTCTCAAAATTCCGTTACCATGAACTTTTAATAAAAAAAAGAACACGTACAAATATGAATATTTTGTGTATTTTTTGGGGATACATATAGTTTAATTTGGAATTGAGTGATCATAGCTGGATTTGATATTTATACATTTTTCGACCTTATTTCTTTGGTTAAAATATGTGACTATAATTATCTTTCTTAGTAACCATTTAGATGCCTAAATCTATTTATTATTCATATCGATATCATCACCTTTCCCAGAAGAATCTTGGATGGAAGCTGGTGGAAGGCGTAACAAGACCACTTTTGTACATGATTAAATTGGTGAATATCGTTTGATCTTAGTGATTTGCATAAAAATAACTGAAGAACATAAATTTCCGGTGACATAATATCTACTGGAACACTTTTAGAAAGTCTTCCATGAATTGATCTACCAATTAAGGATTCTGAAAGCTTACTGCGCCTTCTCCTTCTCCACTGCGGCAGCGATTCCATCTCCGCCAGCTGCCTTCTCCGCCGCACGATTCTTTCTGCGTTCGGCAGCCTTTTTCTGGCTGCTCAGGTACAGTCCCAACGCAATCATCGCTGCCCAGCTTATGTAGCCAATGTGATAAACCGAGCCATAGAACCGCCAGATTCTGCCGAACGAGGAGAGCAGGAAGGCCTCGCCCAAGTAACTAAAGGCGAACCACTTGAAGATCCAGAATATAACGTCGATTACACGGCGACTAGTGCCAGTGGCACTCTTGCGCACCAGCTTATCCCACATGTCCTCCAAGGCAACGTAGAAGGGAGCGCCCATGATGCAGAAGTAGTGACCCGGCCGGAATCCGTGCCAGTAGGCGGAGCACAGCAAGGTGGCGCCAGTCCTGGGAAAGTTTTAAAATCAAGTTAGTAAGGGAATCGCTGATCAAGCCCATAATATAAGTAAGTGAGTAACTACCAGGCATACCTGCCAACCCTGCGATCAGTAGCAAAGGGAAAGAACAATAACAAGAGGAGCAATACGAGAGGCAAGCAGTAAAACGACAAAAGCTACGACTCAAATCAATTCCAAAACGTCTCTCTACTTTCTCTAACTCACCTGTACTTCTTGCTGGGGAAGAGTTTGTACACATTGACAGCCAACCAGTACTGGACACAGACGTTCCAGTGCTTCATGCCCTCGCGGAAGGTCCAGCATCGCTCCACCTCCAGCACTCTGGTGTTCACAATCGTTGTGAAGTTGTACGAGTGCTTCTCAGCGTCGCGCTTTAGGTGCTGGTAGCGTTTCCGCGGCCCCTCGCCATTATTGGGATCCGACTCATCCGGATAGGCTCCGAAGCCGGCCATCGTGCAGACGCATTCGCTCAGGGTCAGGCCGGTGTAGATGCGAGCACGGAAGGTGAAGAACGTGGGCCACACGTACAGCAGGCGGTAGACAAAGGAGCGATCGTTGAAGAACTCGTCAGTCAGCGCATACTAAATATCAAATCAGATTAGTAAGGTTTTGGGGTCAGCTTAACTACTCACATCCAGTGGCCAGAGGTAGTTTGTTGCCAGGTAAAGGGCGCAGTAGAAGACTGCATACTTGAGCTTCTCCAGGGTGGCTTCCACACTTGGTGCATGGGTCTTGAAGGGCATCTCAAAGTAGTCTCTGTATGTGCGATACCGATAATAGGGACCTGCAATAAATAAACGAAGTGCGATTCCGTTTAAAATGCAGATTTTCCAGCAGTAGATAATACACCTATTGAAAGCGGCAGTAATCGATTTTAAATGTGTGTGGGTAGCACTTTACAATCAGCAATTGAATTGGACTTTGGTATCTACATGTGTTTCGACTAGACAGACTGAATAGTTTTAAAACAAGCCCGATCTTCACCTGTTAGAACTCCGATATAGTTGAAGCTGTAGTGCAGGATTTCGGCGGCACTTAGGGTCTGCAACTCCTCATCGTAGTCGGTAATCTCGACGAGACTCTCCTGGTTCACATCCCGCTGGTCGTTCTTCTTCTGCTCGTCCCGGGCCTGCAGGCGCTTCCAGGCGGCGGTCTTCTCGAAGGCAATACCCGAAACCTGTCGTTGGAGGACTGACACGTAAGTAATTGTAATGATGGATGGTTGCATAACCCACCTTCAGGGTGAGTATCATTTGAATCATGTTGGTGTGGCCGGGAATGCCCAGGTAGAAGTCGAACAGGCGGAAGAACACCAGGTAGCCAAACATGACCACAAAGGTGACCAGGTGTCCCTTGCTGGAGGAGGGCGAATCAGTGGATATTAGCGGGTTCCAGAGACTGGGCAACCATCACCTCACCTCGGATGTACCAGGAGCACGGCGGCTGTGCCCAGGGCCAGGGAAGCGAAGCAGTGCAGGCTGTGGAGTCCCGAGACAATCACCACCACAATCACGCCCAGCGCGGTGGACACCAGCTTGCGCTGGCCCTCGTCCGAGATCTTCTTCACATAGCCCCCAGCTCCGATGCAGGCCAGCAGGCAGATCACGTAGATCACGTCGTCGATACTCATCGTGCCTGGGATCGGGATCTACATGTACTATACTCCCCCGCTATTGATTATATTATTATGATTTGCTCAGTGTTACCAGATTGTGAATCGAACTTTACCGCAAGGGCGCTCATCCAGCCGTCGCTATCCGCTAAATTCAAACGGTAAAAATAACCGCTAGTTATATTGAAATTTCATTGTAAGACGACGGAGTTTCTTGTTTTGAATCCAATTTTAGTACCCGATTACTTACCTTATGAGAGGATAATATCATAATGGTTTGTGGAACAGGTAAAAATAGGTAAGAACAACACGGTGTTTTTTTATATTATTATAGTTTTAGAGTTAAAAAAATGATTTTTATTTTAATCATAGAAAAAAATTTAAAACATATATTCAACAAGAAGCGCCAAAACAAAAAACAATGACAGAGATGACAAGCAACACGAAATTGAGATGGCCGAAAAGTTTATTTTTCAATCGATATGTTAGTCCCATCTATGGGTGGTGTATTCGCTAAGTGTGGAGGGTGTACTTACTAACCGTAAATGGACAAATAATTGCTGATATGAAACAACAAAACCTTCCGTTATTTTGAAAAAATTTATTTATTTACATTATTTACATTTAATACTATTTAGTGATTATTACTTAAAATTTTGTAATTCTATTATCTTTAATTAAGTTCAAATATTAAATAACTTGCAAAAAATTAAGATATATCGAGTAATGTATAAGCTAATGAAATGAAAAAATTCAAATCAGGATAAAAGCATGTGCCGATCGGATCCGATCCCATAGAACAAAAGGGTGAAAATTGTGACCTTTTATTTGCACATATTTTGTTGTTTGTTATTTTAATTTGATTTATTTAACAAATTCTAATTTAGTCACGTTTTGAATCGGGAAATCTGCAAGGGTGTTGAAACTTCGGATTAGCTTTCGTCCTCGTTTATTTCTGCAATATGCTCTGCTCAGTTTAACTTAGCGTTAGCTACTGGAAGCGACATCCATGGGGATGGTGAAAGCACTTACGGAGGTTTCACAGAAATCTCTTCCAACTAAAGACGGTTAGTTTTGTGTGATGTACATTATTTATTTGGAAAAGATTTCTGTGAAACCCCCGATTAAAACAAATTTTGAGATCACCATGAGCGTAATGGTAGTCAGAAATACCTTAGACACCAAATGAGTGAGGTCCTTGGCATATGGCTCAGCCCGATTTGGGGAATCCACAGTGGCATGGCTACTACTAAGCAGTCTTATTTTGTATAGACTAACCTTATAAATAAATATTCTTGAGAGTTTCCCACAATACATATTGTCCCCATACAATGCATACAAACAGCTTGGAAAATTGTATTGCAATGACTTCCTCACAAAACTCCAAGTCCGTCAGTTGAGGCATTTATTAAATATCAATTCATTAATGATTAGCCAGTGATATTTCCCAAAGCGCGCGCCACAAAAGTCAATTAGATGAACCATCCATTTGATTTTAATTCGAGTCTGATAATGAGATTCCATAATCGGTTGTAAACGCCCAGCTGATAATTGTGATCGAGTTGAGCTAAAGCGTTTGCCCACTTTTTGTGGCTGTCATGAGTGTGCGCCAAGAATTTCCCATGTCCACAGTGTCTATTCCAACTCGGTCTAGTGCTACGTCATAATGTGCATGTAGAACCGGTAATTCGCACTCAACACGTTTCAGTGGGAAGAATCGCGTGCCTTTATAGGAAAGCCGGGCAATGCCTCGTATCAGCTGGATTATGATCAGGGGCTGATTCCAAGGGGATTCATATTTCCTGATTAACATTGTGTAGCCAGGGTAAGGATTTTCTTTATTTCTAGATAATAAACTTAGGATGAAGATTTTATTGTTTCACAGGTCTTTGAGTAAATTTAGTGATTAGTACTGCAACCAAAAATTAAAATTAAATAAATTAAGTAAAATAACTTTTAAAAATGTTATTAAAATGTCTTAAATATGAAATTAATATATCTTTTTAAAAAGGTAAAATTTTACTAAAAAAAACAACTTTAGAGTCTTTCAAGACTAGTTTTTAGTTGATTTAATTGATTCAAAGAGGTTTTCAGTGGATTTCCCGTAACTGGCTCCCCCTTTGAACTCCACCCCTGCTATTTTCTGAGCGGGCTACCAAATCGCTTGATCAGTGCGATTTATTGGCGAGCCGACTACCAGGTATGACGCGTGATCCCGTCCGGGGAGTTGATCTATCAAAACCCAGAATGCATCGCACTATAAATAGGCTTGCTCCGTCGGCAGCATATAAAACCAGCTAGCCCGATCGATCAGATCAACAGAGTGCAATTGCAGGTGGAATCGTAGAGATCTTCTAGCCAGTTGCAGCTGATCCAATAAATCGACACATAATGTGGACTAAACTATTCGCAGTTTTGCTGTTGGTGGCAACAATTGGTGAGTTTACTTTGGAAAACTTTGCAACCTTTTGTTAATGCATACATAATTACCTGCAAACAGCTCAAGGCAAACCCAGTGGAAATGGAAATGGAGTCGAGGGCGACTACGATGATGAGATGAGCGAGTTCATGGATGCGCTGCCCAATCTGGATGACACGCCCATTGGCTTCGGACAGCGATCGGATATCGCGATGGAACCGGAGGTGGATGATATTTTGGCCAATCTGGACGACGAGTACGAGGGAGCCAAGCACTATGCCTGGAATAAGTGTGACAAAGATCTCAGCGAGAAGCGGGGCATTGGCTCGTTTCTGGACCTGTCCTTTGTGAAAAAGATCGCCAGCAACCTGAATCCGTTCGGCAGCAAGAAACTGCGGATGCAGTTCTATCTCTTTAAGCGGGAGTTCCCCGAATGCGGCAGGGAACTGGATTTCTCCAGCGAGCGCAAGTGGCGGCATTCTGGCTTCAATGCCTCCCTGCCCACCAGACTGATGATCCATGGATGGATGAGTCAGTCGCGGGGCTCCTTCAATCGGGACGTGAAGGACGCCTATCTGAAGAAGGGCGAGTACAATGTGATCGTGGCCGATTGGAGTGCCAGTTCGGCGAATATCAACTATTTTTCGGTGGTGTCCCTCATCGAGACCTTTGGCGCCCAGTTGGCCCAGTTTACCAGGGAGTTGAATCGCCAATTTGGAGCCGACTTCGATAGCATGTACCTGATTGGACACTCGCTGGGCGCTCAGATTGCCGGATCGGCGGGAAAGCGACTGAAACCGGATCAGGTGAACACCATTTTCGCCCTGGATCCCGCTGGCCCCAAGTTCCGTCATCGCAGCGCCGAATTCCGGATCGACCCCACCGATGCCAAGTTTGTGGAGTCCATGCACACGAGCGCCAACTTTGGATTCCGCCGACCCACGGGCAGTGCCACCTTCTATCCAAACTACGGGGCCTACCAGCGCAGCTGCTACTACCTGGGCTGCTCCCACATTCGCTCCTACCAGATGTTCGCCGAGTCCATCAACTCGCCGCTGGGATTCTGGGGAACCCCCTGCACGCGGGACAACGGAAGGTGGCAGTGCGACCAGAGCCAGCGGCAGACCATCCAGATGGCGGGGGAGCCGTCGGTCCACAAGGAGGGCATCTTCTACGTGAAGACCTCCTCCAGCGACCCCTTCGCCCTGGGAAAGCAGTAGATGTATAGCTGGGATAGGTTTAACGTTAAGTTATTGCACTGTAGTCTTAGGCGCCATTCAATGTGATTTAATATACCAAATAAAAGTTATACAATTTCATCTCAAGCATTTTAAATGTCGTTGGTTTCAGTTCAGCCTTATTTCATTGAGGTCCATAGGACTTAGAACCATATTTTGTTACTAAGTTTTTAAAATCATACTTTTACAATTATACTCTGATTTCTAAAGTAAGACTCAAAGAATTAGTTAACATTCATAGTAAAAGTTGAAAAATAACGGTTATCCCTGGCGCTCAAAAACTTAATTAATGGCGATAATAACCACAGTAACAAAGATTTAAAGAAATTGTTGTTTGGCTTTTTATACGATTTCTACTAAGTTATTTATTAAAAAAATCAAAAAATTAAAATCCCTGCGGATATATAAACTATTATGTACTACAAAAATATTCGTGTATTAAGGCACAATAATTTTGAATAGTCAGCGCAGTGAAATAATTCATTTTTATGGGATTGTAAATATAGTTTTAATTTACAAAATTCTTTATAATAATAAAGAGGCCTTAAAACATAGCACAGTAGGCTGTCGACCTACTTTCACACCCCTAGAATCAAGCAAATCAATATCAATATCAGTCAACTAAAAATCAATTCAAAGCTTGTAATTTATTTTTCTTGTTCCACAAAATGTCTGCCGAAATTGAGGAAATGCTGAAGCGTTACCAGAACTATCCGAATGTTGTTGGCGTTATTATTTTGGACCCCTTCGCCATTCCCATCAAGACGACCATGGAGTACACATTGACCGTGCAATATGCCGCTTTAATCAGCACCTTGGCCTACAAGGCGGCCAAAATGGTCACCAATTTGGATGCGAGCAACGAGCTGATGACCCTGCGCCTGCGCACCAAGGTCCACGAGGTGATTGTGCTGCCCTCCGAGAACTACATCATCATTGTGGTCCAGAACCCGGGCACTTGATTCCCCATCCCATAACATCCTTTCCATCCTCCAATATACTCGAAAAAACCATATACTCAAAGTGTTGGGCCGAATGCAATTGGCTTTATCTAGTTTTAATTAAAGTTGCAAAGTGTCTGGGCCAATGGCGCATCTTTGGCGATGTGAAATATGCGAGTTGGCGATGGCTTGGCGTTAATTGCTGCAGATAAATACACGCCGCGTCGCCATAATTACGACAGACAGATTACGGGCCGCACTTAATTGTCCGCCGTAAAGTGTGTTTGCCTTGCCGGTATCTCTAATCCGGCCGGAGAAGAAGCCACTCCCACTCTCCCGCCGCCTTAAAAAAGGGGCTCAGGCTCTGGCTCCTGCTCGATTTTAATTATTCGGCGACGCTCTCATCCCCAGCCGTTTGCATATTCATTGGTTCTCCCCACGGAGCCAGGGAAATATTGCCCGGACTTGCATCGCTTTGATTTCCATTATGGCGATTTTACAGATTTTTTCCTCCAGAAACTTTGGCTGCAATGTGGCGGTCGGCCATGGCCGATAAGCTATCCGGATCGGTTATAAAAGTGGCCAAGTGAAGGGGTTCCAAAGTGATTTAAATATTGGTGTGCTTTTCCTTGAGAAGGAGAGTGTTTTATAAGCCTAAGAAAAATGCTTCAGACTCGTAAGTTTGTTTCAGTCGACTTCCACGTCTCGCGGAAATGTACAGATGCAATTTTGTTGTGTTTATTAATATCTATCGAAATTTAGAAGAAATTTTTCAAATCGGACCTTTAATTAAAAAGTTTCGAGCAAATAATTGAATTGAAACTTTTCTGCGTGTATTTCTTTACCTGAAAACCGGGTTTATTTCTTTATGTTTTTACATTTGTAGTAATATACCCTTTACAAACACATTTTCGCATCGCCCTATCCATGAAAAAATGTGTCACTTGCTTTTTCGACCTACCCAGCATTTTACAGTTTTATTTCATTTTCATTTCGGGTTTCGGACTGTAAAGACCTATAAAAACCAAAAAAAAAGCAAAATTTTTCATAAAAATTTACAAAATTTTCTAAGCTAAATTTTTCCTCAAAAAGTAATAGTCATGGAGTACGGAAACGGTATGCAATATGAAGGTTACGGCCAAGGCGGTGAAGTAAGTAATAGCCTTGGTTTCCTGGCGCTCCTTAATACCCTTTTTAAAAACAGGGCTATGAAATGAACTATGACCAGATGGGCCGTGGCCAAGGATATAGCCAACAGCCGGAAGGCTACGGGCAGGAGTCGAGGAACTACCAAAGTGGATCCGCAGCCCTTGGAGGTCCTGGATATCGCAGTCCTCTGCGATACAACAAAATTCTCCGTGAGATGAACTCCCGCAACGGACTTTAGTAAGTGGATACTGTTAAGGATTCTGGATTATACGAGTCTGATGCATTTTTTCTCTTCAGTTCTCCAATGGAACAGCAACGGGGAGGTGGCCAGGGCGATTATTATAACACATTACCCGGCCTTGGCGGCGCCGAAGGCCAAGCTTATCAGTCGCGAAACAATGGAAACTCCTACTTCTGAAAATTTGTGGCCATCCCATGCAGTTTGTAGAAAATATTGCTTGCGTTTTGACGTGTTGCTTACTTAAAAAAAATTGTAACAAATATTTACATGACTTTTTTTTGAGGATTCATACATTTTACCACAAAATATAGGGTATTCAATTGCGTTGCAAAAGTGTACAATTTGTAAATTTGCCGGAGAAAAATTGTGAACGATCTTTTTTTAAAAATCGTTGCAAGATATTGACGTACAAGAAAAGGGTGACTTTATATTTTTGGTATTTGGTATGGGAGGCTTTGCCTAAAATAAAGTTGACATATGCACATAAATATGGCCCCTTGTTACTTAATATGAAAAGTCAGCAAGTTCAGCTGATTTGGTGGGCCAACTTCTTCGCCAATAATGTCATTATACCCGTTGCTCGTAGAGTAAAAGGGTATATTGTATTCGTGCAAAAGTATGTAACAGCTAGAAGGAAGCGTTTCCGACCCCATAAAGTATATTCTTGATCAGGTTCACTAGCCGTCTGTCTGTCCGTCTGTCTGTCTATATGACTGGCTGAGATCTCGGAGGGGGCCACACCCCCTCTAACGCCCACAAACAATTTTAAAAGGTGTCTGGCGCCCACACCTTTCAAGATTTCGGGGTTTATAAATATCTATCGAAATGTAGAAGAAATTTTTCAAGTCGTACCATTCGTTAAAAAGTTTTGCGCGATCAAAGATTTATATCTGCATCTTCCTCGCACTCCCTTTAGCTGAGTAACGGGCATCTGATAGTCGGGGCACCCGACTATAGCGTTCTCTCTTGTTTTGTTCTAATCTAGTACCATTTTCTTTTGTAGACTCTCAAAATGCCTTTGATTCCCTTGATTTAAACTTTTAAACAATTAAAACCAGAAACAAATTTAAAATTGTACCTAAATTTTTTTGTTAAAATAAATTCTATACCAAACCATGGATATGGACTTTTCTACATATGCTCAGCTCTCAGGCGTTTCCTATATGCCCACTCCCGAGGAATACTATCCGCAGGTAAGTAATATGAATGTCTCGCGATCCATTCTATAGTAGATTTGTTATAATGCTTAGATGAGGGGCGGCATGCAGCAGCAGCAACAATGCGGCGACTTTGACCAGGGATCCAGCCGGATGTCCAATCATCAGCCTCCTTCAGCACCTGTCCAAAATCGGTACCCCCAGAGGTCTATGGACATGTCCGATGGCTTTAAAGCCGATCCCTATCTCCCAGTTCGCCCTCAATGCACTAGTTCCTCTGCATATCGCTGCATGGTGAGGGAACAAAAACGAGCCAAGGAAATGATGTCCCGCAACGGGTTATAGTGAGTAAAATGTACTTAATGGAATAGGGAATAAATATTAAATTTCTTACATTATTATTACGTTTAGTTCCCCTATTGAAGCCTCTGCGCGTTACAGTGGCGGAGATGACAATTACTATTCAAATTATGCTGGTGAGTTACCTGTATCTATATTATCGATAACCATTTGCAATTAATTAATTTCATAGAGAGCAACAGGCGAATGGAACCTAGTGGTAGAAATTCTTATTGGTGAAACCTATTTTGTTGTTTACTAGTAGTAAAATTAATTAAAAATGTGTCATTAAAGGTTTAATAATTGATTTCTAATAATTGAATCTTGAATAAGAGGTTTTTATATCATAAGTGCTTCTGCGATATTCAATTTCAAAACCCAAGTACTCTCGCCCCTCATATTTAAAGGCTGCTAAATGCTTAGATAAATGAGCGAAGCAGAACAGTTGACACAGCTTGAGGGTAATTAACGTGTGTTTTATGGCCATTTGCCACTGCATGGAACCACACGCAACCGTCAACCCATCCTGATTCCCATCCACCCACCTCATCCTCATCCACACACACTGCCACCCAGTCGTCAGGGGAGGAATAGGAATCTGGATGGGTGGGTGGTTGGTTGGCTCAAGTCGCCCAAACCAAACAGAATGCAATGAAGGATTAAAATAAGAAAGATGTGCAAATAAAATATTTTACAAAGCGGACAACGAGGACAACTTTTGTGTCCTGTGTCGGGAGTTGAAAGTGGGTGGCTGAGGGTGTGGAGGACGGTCCGAAATGCGAACGGAACATGTCGATGTGGAGTGGGATCTGTACTGGAAGCTCAGACAGAGACGGACTGGGCAGAGAGACTACGACCAACAATGGCAACCAATGGCAGACTGAAGCTCCAACCGGAGCTTGCACCACTCGGGGATCCTGGGTAGATGGGAATGGTCCTAGGAGTCCTGGCAGGGGTTGGCACTGCATGCTAGCATTGTCAAAATAAATCAATCGGTTTTATGTTGTTTTCTGGAATTTCGGTTTTGTTGCTTTGTGTTATTTTGTTGCCCACCGCCGCCGCCGTCGACGTCAGGATGCCCCGGTGTGGAACAGTTGCAGGAGCTGCAGGACCAAGAACAACAGCTCCAGCTCCAGCTTGCGGTGGCATAAATCAGTTGGCCGTTGGACCCATTTATGAAAGGATAAACCAGGCATACACAAACACACACACACACAGTGGGTAACGGGGGAGCTCAGCTCATAAAAATGCATAAGTTACAAAAATTGTATAAACAAAAATACAAATTTTTAACTGTCTCCCAGCTCAGCCCGGTTAGAAATTTCTGATTTATCTCGAAAGGAATTAAGATGTCTCAAAAGTTCCAGCGGGCCACATTAAAACATCATCCAAGGAGAGACCCCAAAATGGGATGAGTGGGCCGAAATGGGCAAGTAAACCCAATGCCTCTCGAATTCCTTCTATCAGCACCTCATAATCGTTCACACTTCCTCTGCCGGCAACTTTGGCTTTGTGGCTGATGGCGATGAGCGGATGGAGGGGATGGGCGGAGGGGCAGATGGTTTAACGAAACTTTACTGCATCTCTTTGGACGCGTCTAAAGTGATTTCCTTTTAGGATTTTCAAAAACTTTCACCAAAGGTAAGTAAACATCGCACACACATCCTGCTAGCCAGCCAACCAGCCATCCAGCCCCACCACACACGAATCTCAGTCCGAATCCCTGGCCATGTGGGTACCCTGCTCTAATGAAGCACATTCCGCCGGCGCATTTGCCTCGACTCTTTAATCCCTAATAACTTTTAAGCAAGTGACTTTACTACGCACACAAAATGTCCAAATTCATCATCTTTGTGTTGGCATTGAATGTGGGGACAGGACGGAGTTGTTTGCTGGTCGGTCCTGTGAGAAAGCCCAAGGACTTAGCCTTAATTTCGAGTCCCTTGGTCTTTCGGCATGTCAGTTCATTAGCAAATTGAAAATTTTGGAACATAAAAAAGCTTAAGTAAATCTGAGGAGACCCAATTTCAAACTATTTTGAAATATTTTTATTCATTATCAAATTGAAATTTTCGGAACAAAAAATAGCTTATAATTTTTGGAATTTGAAATTATTTTGAAATTTAAAAAATGTAGCTTAGTTTTTTAAACATTTTTAGCAATTTAAAATTCCTAAAAATGCTCATTATTTGAACTCTTATGAATAAGCGTTCAGATTGACCATTTACTTATCACATTTTGTTCGTTATTCTTATTATTTTTTAACAAAAACTTTTTGTCCCCAGAGAAATGAATGTTTATGCGTAAAATTAAAATTGCGTGAAAAATGTGAACTAAAGATGTTCGGAGAAGGCAAGGCAAGTTAGGAAATTGTTTTTAAATTAAGATGGCAATTTTCCCAAGTCCAAGGAAACACCCCAACAAACAAAAAAAGGCCAACAAAGTTTTGGGAGTGTCAAGATGGCGGGGTGAACTTATGTTTTGCCTGGCGGTCGAGCGAAATTTGATTATGTTGGCGGTTACACTTCATTCGTCGTGATGTCTTCCCACCACCATTATATACCTTGACCTCCCCACCCTCATAAAGTTGACATACACTTTCCCCCTCTCGAAACACAAATTGTTGTTCCGCCCAGCAAGGAATTTATGCGATCAATTAAATTTTTCAAATGACCGAAGAAAAGTTGTTCTCGCTTTTTAATTTTCATAAATTTTACTTAAAAATTGCGCCTTCTCTGGCATAGTAAATTTGTTCTTATGGCCGCTTAATGTGTCAAGTTTTTTGTGTACAGTATCTGCGAGAGTTATGAAAATGATAATCAGATTTTATGATGATTAGAAATTAGAAATTTAGAGCCAGCGATGAGAATTTATTGTAAATGAGCAATAGCTTTCAGGGGAGTGGGAAAGTGGGAAAAGAGAGCGAGGGAAAAATGTGTCCAGCGAAAGTAAATCAAATGTAAATCATCGACAGCCGAAAAAGAAGAGCCGGACAAACTTTCATCTTTGGCGGAGCCAAAAATGAAATACAACACATTTTCGGGGGAAACCTTTACAACTAAATGCGGATAATCTGTAAGTTTGCCTTGTGCCCAGATTTATGGGAAACTGGGTGGAGTTTTCCCTATATATATTGTTGTTGTGCTTTTTCTTGGGTGCTCTTCCTCTGTATAGTTTTTCCCTCTGCACTATGGGCAAATATTCAGTCCTTGAGGCATTAACTCCAGTTTTAAAGATACAAATCTAAAATTTTTGTTATATACTTTTAAGGCTAAGATGTAATTTCGGTTTTTGTTGCTTTTTGAATCGGACCACATATTCATCCTACGCCCACGCCGCAGATATACATTTGAAGGCAAGGATTTAAAGAAAATGTTGTTTGTGTTGGTAACTGTAATACAATTTCTGTTTTTGTTAAATTTTGAATTGGACCAAGTCTCCATCAACCGCCAACGCCGCATATTTACTTTTAAAGGCAAGAATATTAAAAAAAATGAATTTGTTAATAAATATTTCATATTTAACGCCTTTCGCAACAAAACTGAAGTATCTTCTTGTTTGATATTTTTTGCCAAAATAGAAGCACCATGCCAAATTAATGGCATCGAATTTTCTTTTTCTTTCGCCAATTGAGATGCCACCTTACGCTTTAATCGTGGTCCTGCCTCATTAGAAGTTAGGCATTTGCGACCAGGTTTGTCGCTTGGCAAGCCCTTTTCCAAAAATGAAATTTTCATGTTCGACGAAAGCCGCAGGAAATGTTCTTCCTTGAATCGGTCTATTATTCTATGACATTTTGGCAAATTACGACTAAAAAAGGCAACAATCTGCTTAATTTTTTTTTGACTATTGTGTGCTGACTATCGCTTAATTCGATTCCGTTCATAGTTTGCAAAACAAATTCCATCACAGCGGTTTGTTGCCGGTTGTTGCCGATACAAACATTAAGCAATGTGTAGTGACAGAACTCGAATGCAACTACAACATGGAGGTTTTACGTATAACGTGCAAAAACGTGCAAAAAGTATTGATAGGGTTCGATTAGCAATTGTTTTGTTTATAACTTCCTATTTTTACCTTGCCTATACTCTCCTATACTCACATCTTACACTCCACAGAAAGCAAAAATACATTTCTTATTTGTCATCTAAAAACTAAGCGACAACTCATCAAACAAATGGACAAAAAGCACATATAATAAACATTCAGTGTTTATAATTTATTTAACAATCCTTCACTCTTTGTATCCATATTTAAACTTTTTTGGTTGGCTTACAATAACCAAAGAAATCGAGGTGTGAAAACTACAAAGTTTTTCGTCCCTTTTTGTAAACGTGTGACCCTATTTCAAACTTTCGAATTTCTTAAGGGAAAAAATAGCGAAAAACGCCAAATAAAATTCTTTGAAAATGGATTTTAGGTTCCTTTAAGTATTGTAAATAACCACAGAAGGTCATTTATGTAATACTGAAGAACAAAAAAATTTAAAAATGCATCACTTTCGAATTTTTTGCCCATAGTGCTCTGGGCGCTTTTCCTCTCCTCCTGACCACCGCCCCTCGTTGCTCCTCCGTCTATCCTTGCCAGCAAGTGAAAAACGCAACCCGCAACTAAAACATGCGCATTCAATGGGTGAAGCCGCTTTTCCCACCCACTTTGCCACCCCTTCTCCGGCCCCTCTGCTGCTGCAATTCATTTCCAGCAGGCGTGTGTGTGTGTGTGCGGAGATTTACCGTTTTATACTTGACATTTCCAAAAGTTTAAGTTTTAATTTATGACACCGCCGCTTTCTATACGAGGCGACAAGCTAAATATGAGCGAATGGGGCGTCCTTAAACAGGATATCTAGCCATTGTCGCTGCCTTCCGACTCCTGGAGCTCAAGGAACGTTTCCAGCTCGTCCTCACAATGGCTTGAGAATCCTTGAAAAGCCGTTGTCCAGTTCTTCGGCGTTTCAAATGGGCTAAGAATTAGCTTTCAAGGAACAAAACTCTTAAGTGGAAGCGATGAAACTCAGAGTTTCTTGGTCTTTAACTTTTATAAATTCACGTTGTGGTAATTTAAATAGTTTAAAATAGTTTGTGTAGAGTCCAGTAACAGAGGAAACAATTTGTATTTGAATGAAAGCTATATAAAAGTTTTCAAGTAATGTGGTGATTTGAAAAAATTGTTAAAAACTTGTCACATTTAAAATTGATTTCAATATTTAGACTCAAGTGTTTCAAGGTTGTATTTCACTTAAAAAAAGTTTTTTAACTTAAAAATGTTTTGGAAATCAACGATATTTTCGATAATTTTACAATATCGATTCGAT